AGATCACTGTTTACACTGAGAAAAGAGGCATTACTTGAGCGAGGAGATCAATGAGAACGGCTTTACTGCTTAATCTTTGAATTGGTAGTTTTTGTTCAAAAAAATAATATCATTGGCACATTCAGGCGATAATCGTGAACGTCGATCACTCGTGATGTACCCACTTAGAGAAAAAACACGTTCGAATGGCGTGCTTGTCGCTGGAACACAAAGATACTTGCGTGCTATTTTTGCAATGTTAGGATATCGTTCCTTGTTTTCACGCCACCATACAAGTGCACATTTGTTTTCACGAATTTCCTGTTCGCTGAGATACAATGTGTACTCATTGGCAGAAACTGAATGTTGTTTATTGACTATTCGTGATAGAAGAGAAGCTGCGGGTTATGGGTGAAGCTGAGCGGTGGTGTTTGCTGCTGAGGATGCTGCCAAAATTTTAGAATATTCATCGAGCAAAACTTTTTCTGCTAATGTTCGAGCATCACTTGACTTCCATTCAATCAATGTTTGAACTGCGACTCCGTTTTGAGTGAATAAACTCAGATCAGCAAATGAGAACTGTTTAAATCGTGGATCAAGAATGGCTGCAATCAAATAGAATTTGTTCTCAAACGAATCCTTAAATCATTTCGCTGTTTGTTTTAACATTGCATCCCGCATATTATCAATTTGCGTGAAGTCGTGTTCAAACAGATTGAGTACTGCTATTAAAAACGACAGAACAAGCGAGACAGTTGATGTCGTGGCAGATAAAACATTGCGAGTGATTTCTTCCAACGGATCGAATAATTTCAGAAGTTGTTTCAACAGGGAGAAATTAATGCCTGTTAAATCGAGAAAACTGTATTGGAAAAAAGCGCTTTAAACAGGTCAAAAAAGTCAATCAATTAGTTTCCTTTCCCTTCTAATACCGTCTCATCTACAGCACTCACTCTTTTTCCTGAAACCCAGCATTAGACATTATTCAACAGATCTTTATATTTGTATCAGGAGAAGTATCTGACGGTTTGAAACAATAGAGTAAAATAATCACTTGTGATGATACTTGGATCTTTAAATCGATTCAAGAAATCTTGGTTCGTGAAGCACATAGATAATGCTGGTTCCTCTTCGACAAAACGTTGTAACATATAAAAGGTGCTGTTCCAGCGCGTTTCAACGTCTTGTATCAAATTTCGACTGCTGAGACCGATTGATTGTTGAGCATCTCTTAGATTGTCCTTAGCTTTATAACTACGTCGAATGTGGCAAACTGTTTTCTCAACGTTTTTTATTTGTGTTTTGATATCATGAATATCTGACCCAACTTTTACTATCGTTTGTATCAAATGTGCAAAACAACCGAGCCAGCCGAGATTTAGATCTTTTCCGACCTTGACCATTGCTGATGTATTGTCTGTCACGACACATACAATCAAATCAAGAATCTCCCAACTGATCAGCACCTTTTGTCGTTCACGTATTTTATCAGAGTTGTGAGTATCATGATAATCTAAAGTCTCGAGAACACGACTGTGTAAAATAAAATTTTTATCAAGAAACTGCGCTGCCACCGTGATAAAATTCAATGTTGCATCCGATGTCCACATATCGCTCGTTATTGACAAATATTGTGCTTCTTTTAACTCTAAATATTCAAAAACTCCATATCTTTGATACGCATGAAGGAAGAGATGAGGAAAAATTGTTGAGTCACGCTTTTAAGCTATCAACTTAAGTGCAAGATTGAGTACTATAGCTCAGTAGTAATACTGAGTTATAATACGGCCAGTCCACGTAACGGTAGATTTTTTTGGCGAAGTATGATCACAAAATCAAGCAAAATCAAGATGACTATGTTGTAGAGCGTTGTCGATAGTATATAAAAACCTATTTTTTTCTTACTTTA